GGACGGGGCAGAGCAAAGCCGCTTGTCCCGTCGGGGCCGGGGTCCTCCCCACGGCCGGCTGGCAGCGGGGGGGGGGCGCCGGGCAGAGCCGAGCCCAACTGAGCCGAGCCGGGACGAGCCGGGCCACAGCACCCGGGGGTGCCGGCATCCCCCTCCCCACCGGCGGCGGGACCCCCCCAGAGCCCCGGCAGCAAAAGCACAGCGGCCTGTTTGACAGAGGGGGATCGCCTTTCCTTTCTCCGGCAAGGGTTTCTTATTTTTTGGTTTTGGGGTTTTTTTTTGGTGAGCGGGACATGCAGGCTAGAAAGGGGGAGAGGAGGCTGACTGAGGGGAAGAAGTGCGACTTCACCGAACCCTTCCTTGCTTCGCTTCTTATCTCGGTGGCTGTCGCTGGGATGAGAGAGAAAGGCGGATAAAGCGGCGCTGATCGCATCAGGAACCTCAGGCGGTGTGAGGAGCAGCCGCTCTATTTGTAACTGTTTTCCTCGGTCTCTCCCCCCGCTGCCCCTCTCAGAGCTGTTAAATATCTGTACCATAAAATGTGGGGGATTTAAAGGTCTGTGGGAGGCTCCCTTTGAAAAGGACTCTGGGGAAAGTCTTTCTAATCCAGGATACTTGAGCCGGATGGGGTGGGATTGCCAGAGAGGCATAAAATAAAAGTCGTTCGGCAGACAAGGCGAGGGGCTACGCCGACATGGAGAAAGCGCATTCACCCCGGCGTTTTGGTTCGTTTTGTTGGCGATTGAGACTTCTCGTGAGCTAGTGCGTGTGTGGAAATTTCTGAGCGAGCCGGGTGAGTGGCATAAATAAACAAGGCTGCGGAGAAAGGATGGGACACGCGTGTGCGCCAACCTGCAGCCAGCCGGCCAGCTCGCTCGAGCAGCGTTAGCACCAGTGGGCAGAGAAAGCATGTCAAAAAATAAACGCTCCGCGAGAAACATAAGGAAAACATTAAACAAATGGGGAGTGCACTCCCTCTCCTTGCCCTGACAAAGCACGGCTGAGAAACTCTGCTCGCTGCCTCTCCAGCCTCTTCCCTTCCATGTGTCCCCGCTACGGCGGGAACGCGTGGGGCAGAGGTGTCGGGAGACGGTCCCGGGGACCCCACGGGTCACCCAAGAGCCTCGGCAAAACCGACTCGTGGGGTGCGTGCAGACCGGGGGGGCAAGCAGGACAGGGTATGCGTGAGCGACCGGCAGCAGGGGGGGGAGAGGTTGCTTATTTGCGGTGGAAGAGGGGCAGAGGCATAGACCGGGGAGAAAACAAAAGCTGTGCCTTGACTCGAGATGGGATCTGACAAGAGGCAGGGCGAGAGGATGCCGGAGACCCAGGTTACCCCCCCAAACCAGCTCCGTTGGGGGGGGTGTGGGTGGAAAAACACCCAACAACAATAACAAGCCCAACCCATAAACAGTTACTGCCGCTCTGCGATAAAAGGAGAAGATTTATATTGCTGAAATGTGTGGAAGGAGCTTGTTCCAGAGCAAAACTCTGGCGTGCAATTCCCTGTTTATGTCGCTCATCCCGATGAGATATCGGTGGCAAAGTTCAGGCTGACATCAGCCCTCCGGAGGCCGAGCCGGCCGGGCTGGGCTGCGCAGCTGCGCGTGGGCCTGCGGCCGGTGGACCGCCGGCACTGGGGGGATCGGGCTCCTCGGGGGGGATCGGGCTCCTCGGGGGGGATCGGGCTCGCAAAAAAAGCCTCCTCTCGCCAGGCCCCGGGGACGTGAGGAGCGAGCCAGCGGCGGCGTACGCGGCCGAGGGAGCTGGACGTAGTATTTCCTTGCCACTGAAGCTAGATGAATCAGAAACGGCTCCCGCGGGGGTTTTGTGCGCCCCTCTGTTTTGGGGTTTATTACAGAGGGTGGGGAGGGGGAGAGTGGCTGATAGTCCGTGTCGTTGCCGGAAAGTCAAAGATGTCGGAGGCCTCTGTTTTGCTGGGCTGCATTAAAACCAGCAGCAGGAGCCTGTAAAATCAGCTAGGTATTGTTTTGTTTTGTGTTTTTTTTTTTTAAATAATCCTTTAGGTCAAAGACAAATAGTGTGTGGTGGTTTCGCTATTGCAACTCCCGCCCAGTGGTTTCTCTGTGCAACTTTCCATAGCTAGAAAATGTTAATTTTGGTTTTCTGAATAGCTAATAAATTGGAGGAAGAGAAGGTGGCCCCAAGATGCTCAGATGATATCCAAAATAAGATAATAATATTCAATTAATAGCTGATGTTGTGCATGCTTAAAATTGCACTCTAGTCATAAAAACTAGCCGTGTGAACAGGACAGCTGAATGCTAACCCTTTGTCATTCTTCTCTAGACTGGAAATAGTTTGTGTAAGTGAACAAAAGGGTCACTGATTTGCCTTTTCAACTTGGGAAACACAGTAAAGAAATAAAGGCCTTGCATTACTTCTGATACATAACTTGAAAATGAAGCATGCTGTGTCCAATATGACATCCTTATTTTTCAGGTGCTGCTCCGGGTGGAGATGACATAGGTCAAACCACAACGGAGGAGGTATCCACGGTAGCATCCCCACGGACCGGGGTCAGTAGCGTCTGCTGAAGGGAGAAGGGTTAGAGGACTGGAGCAGGCATCCCGAGTAAAGGTTGCACAATCCAACACATCTACTGTTTGTTAAACACCAACGATATTCTTGGCACTGCACGGGGCCCCAAATCATGGCAGTCTTTGCCCCAGATTTTTCTTTTCCTTTACAAACTAAGAAGCGAGCACAGAGTGGGCAAGGCATGCAGAGAGACACAAATATGTAAAGAAATTACCCAACACACACACACATATATATGTGTGTGTGTCTATTACTATTCTTTTCTGTATTTCCCAATCTGACAGTTGTTACAGTTCTCTGTGTTTCCTAACATAACCTGTTTGTTCTTAGCTGTATTGCATTTAGGAGGTTAACCTTCTGTAACATCACGAGCATTCTCAAAAGCTGTTAATACCACAAACAGAAGATTATAATTGCATAGTCCAAATAAACCAAAAGAAGGGAGTGAGGAGAAATCCTTTACACACAGTAAGTTGAAACTATGAGAGTATGTGTACATTTTAAAAAATAAAATGCTTCCTAAAGATCCAGTCCCGGTATCTTTAATAATGTCTTTATGCTTCAGACATTTAAAAGACGTAATGGCAGAACATTAACAAAATGTGCAGTAAGGAACAATCCTAGACTGGCAACAAATAGACTAGATGACCTAATTGCTTTTTCCCATCTCCGACTTGTGCAATTCTGTCATTGTAATAAAATCCCAGTGTAATCAAAGTCTGCAGGATCAGGCCCTAAATTAGCATGTCGGTCAGGACTATCCCTCAGCCTGGGCCAGGTCCAAAGCCTGCTGCTGTCAGCTTGACCCTTCATCAGTCCGAGAGAGGTTTGGATCTCGTCTTCTGGATCACACTGGAAGAGAGCTGGATTATTGTTTTATTGTGCGTAGGAAAAAAAAAGCATATTTGTGGGAAAAACACATGGGCAAATTCTGCAGCGCAAACCTTCCAGATGCAGTTCAGTTAAGAAAGTCCAACAGGAAGGCCTCAAAATGAGAACTTTTTGGCACAGAGGAGGTTTTACCAGTTAATACGAGGATGACCAAATCCTGCTAAGTCATTGTTTCCCTGTATTTGTCTATCAGTTGGTCGTCTCTTGGACTTGCGATCAGATTGTAAAACCTTTGGGATGCAGACCAACTTTTTGTTCTCTGTTTGCAGAATCTGTGCCTAGAGCAACTGTATCTACAAGAAAAAAATCTCAGCATTGCCATTTTGTACTTTAGGTGTAAATACTCAACCTAGAACAGAAGTGGTTAACATAAATGTTTTTGTCATGTATGCTAAGTTGAAAAAAACAAATGCTTTTGGTCTAGACTAATTTTAACCACCCAGAAAGCAGTACCAGAATAACTGCACTGGTTTAAATTTGCGCATCAGTTTGCCCAAGTATACTTGTCCTGTGGTGACAGCCCATAAAGTGGAACTA